CGAGAATAGTGCGTGCGGTAATTGCATCCAGAGTGGAACCTTTTGATGAGAGTAAAAGTTAAATTATTTAGCGTTTGTACATTATCTTGTAAACATGATCGTGCTGTAATACGTTTGGCTGTTTATAAAAGTATTTACCACAAGTAATTTTTCATCTGGCTATATTTATTTCACTAATTATTATAGCGTTTATCGACTTTTATCCGATACCCATTCTTCTGTGATCGATAGAGTATACTACAAAAGCTTAAGGCTAAAGTAAAGCCCTTAATATAGTGTTTGGTGATACATTACTCTTCATAAATCAGAAAAAAAAAGTTATAAAATTTAAAGATTGTTTTAAGATAGAGAAGCCTACCAGACATATGTGGATTTACAAGCATTGTTCATGGCCTTTTAGCCGGAGTGAATTATTTAATAATAATAGCTTTAAATATGGCGGCCTTATAGAATGACCTATCACAGTAAAACACTTCTTAAAATTACAATGTAGTAAATAAAATATATATCGGCTAACCAAGCTGTTATAAATAATGAAGGGAAAGGCGAGGCCCATAAAATGTGGGCATTTGCTCACAATAGGGCTTAACGAAAATTAAAAACTTTATCTTACTTTCAGAGATAAAGTTTATTTTTTATATAAAGCGTACTACGACAAATTCAAGAAAAACTAAAAGAATAATATAGGAGTATTCTAACTCCCAGATATACTGTATATAGAGCGATATGGCATTTTCTGTTTAAGGTAATTAAGAGGAAGTTTGTCTACGCCGAGAGCATAAAGTTACTTGTATATAGGTAGCAATACGGACTACTTTTTTTTTACTTATTTTATAATGAATAATAAGTTGTATTCTACCGCATAGTTTAAGAAAACCCTGCCTTGAGGTGGTAATTAATGCTTGAGGAATTCGGTGGGAGTTTGGCACGCCTTCATCGGGGGACTGGCAAGGTTTGGCGTAGGTTGTTGCAAGCTGAATATAACTTAATTATAAAATTCCAGGGAAACTATACAATAATACACTAAGAAAAAATATGTAATTAAATATAGGCTATAATAATGACTAATGCAAGTTTAAATAAAGCAAATAAAATACGAAGGAAAACCCCATTTCTACCATGAATATTTGTCAAGATAATTTTACCGTAAGTTCACCTTAAGCATGGTTAAAATAATTTATTTAAGATTCTTTTAATAAAAATGCAAATAATTATCATTAGGCTAATTACGTAAAAAAAATTTAAAATTTGGTACTACTTCAACAGAGTTAATTTTTTTTATAAAATATAGCTTGTTTATAACTAGGAATTAATTGATATTAATCATGCTTTTTTTAAAATTTTTTTTATAATCTACGCTTTGGCTTTTGCTCTTTAAATTTTGTTCAGCACTGGGTATGCATTAAGGGTATGACGTAATGTTTCAAATGAAGCATTATTAAAAATTTACAGAGGCTTTCTTACCTGCATGTATTCAACTAAAAAGTGCATAATTATATTATATAGGCTACTAGGTTATCTAGCTAACATAAATTTAAGCGCCTTTTATATGTTTCTTAGTACGTCTAAGTTTTATATTTTAAAGCGTTGTAGCTCAAAACTAGAGAATCGAACAAATAGGTAGGAAATAAACGAACCATGCACACTTATCTTTACTTAAATATATATACCACGGCTTGGCCCGAGTGCCTAAAAAAAATATATTGAGCTGATATTTGAATAAAAAAAAAAAAGAAACCTTTAAGATGGTAAAAAAAGGTCGTAGTTTTCTGTAACGAGTGTAAATGTTCATAAATTATCTTAGGAATTAAATCGTTAGGATGAGCTAAGAATTCTATAAAGCTTCTAACTGTAGTGAAAAAATTATTATGTTGAAGCTGTATTCTGTGTTTTATTTTTAGGTAGCCTTAATACAGCTACACTACGATTTATTAATTAAATCTCAAATTATATTTTTAGGCATAGATGAATGACTTTTTTACAAGAGAAAGGGGGCTAAAGCCTTTGGACTGTTAACTCCGCTTAGTTGTCTATGTACTCGACGTGCTAGCGCCACCGAATATTGCTTGTCACTTCTTGTTCAAGTATACGGCTTCGGTGTATTAGGAAGCCGGTTTGATTCATGGAGAATATACGTTTTATTTCCTCTTGAAGATGTATATGCTTCAGTAGATAAATTATGATATGCCATTGATCAATATAATATCTCAAGTATAGTAACACGTAAGTTTGCATGTGCTTAAAGCTAGTAAAAGTACATTAGGAGAGAGCATATTCCCCGCCCGAGAAAAAAGTTAAGTAGTTTGCAGTCCTGAGTATGTATAGTGCAAATAAAATTAAAGATAACAGTGACTTTTCTGGGCTCAGTTTTCAATTCTTTCCAAAGTGAGCTGGCTTTTTCAATGGTAACACAAGAACGTCTTCGTTTAGAAAAGATGAAGAAAGAAGAAAACCATGTTCTTTCGGTTGGAAATTATATTCATAAACGAAATGCCATTACTTTTTTAAAAGCCTTACAAAACATTTAATATAATACTTATGTCGATTTATTATTAGTAAATCCTTTTCTAATGAGTTTGGACAACCTTAAGACAACTGCGTAGTAAACGTGCTCTTTTAATATAATTGGTGCTATTAATTTTATGAAAACCTAATTAAAAGTTGTAAGGCTTTCGTACAAGCTAGGATGGGCAAAGCCGTGCAGTGAGAAGAAATGATTCTGGCTGTTATTAATTAAGAAACGGAAGATAAAGTTAATAGAGCTAAGAATCAGCAATGAGGACTTAACTACAGGGTTATAAAAACAGTATCTTTCTTCTAAATTGATAGCAAGGTGAAAAGTAGCAAGAACCGCAGTTAAAGTTGAGCGTTTAATAGATAACAGCTTTAGTTAGTTTTAGTTTCTACTTATTATTCGTCGACTAGGATCAGAATATTTTAAAATGCTTGATTAGTGCTCCCTTATTAAAAAGGTAGGTGAAGTAATAGCAAAAATATATCCGCCGCCTATCACTTGGCTAATTGTGCAAAAAAAGTTGGTTATAAAACGAGGCTATAAGCAGTGGCCAGCATTGTTGCTAGTCATACCCTCCTTAGTTCGCACGCACTGTCTACCCAAAAAACCCCTTTCCCAACGAGTGCTTGGACAGTAATATAGCGATATATAGTAGTTTTTGGGGTTTACTTAACCTTTTTTTGGATATAAACTATGAAGTTTTTTATTATTTTTTCCCAATTTAACACAACTTGAGAATAATAGAAAAACCGTTGAAAACATTTTACAAAAAAAAAACAGTACAGTAAATTTAATTATAAAAGTAACTTTTCGGTTTTTAGAACCTAATATATGTATTTATATATGTTAGTTAGGACCCCAAATCACGTAAATTCTCGTGTCGACTTTAGCACTTATAAACAATATAAAGAGAGGTAGCAATTTTGTAGGATTATTCTGCAATCTGCACCCAAGAAAACAAAGAAAGGGGGCCCAGCGTGCTGTTCGTTCGTACAATACATAAAATATTTTTTTAAACTACATATGGTAGTGTGCATTACTTGCTTTTTCACGTGCACCTCTGCTAGGTACAATGCGGAAATGAAAAATATATTACATAATAGTTAAGTGGTAAGTTTTCTTTAAGAAAAGGGGGCACTGAGACGCAAATCAATAAATAAAGGCACAGAAGCGTATAAACGAGATGGTTTGGTTTGATTTTATTTGAGTAAATATTAGAAGTTGAAGAGTTTTTCTAATAGAATATTATTTTGAGAACAAATGAAGTCACGGAAACGTACATAAACTAAGCGCCATAAAGAAAAATATTAACGACGGCACAAGAAAGGTCCAAGTAAACATAAGGTAGCTAGACCTATATGATAAGGCAACCATTCTAGGGATAGGCTCTCTTTTGTAGTTATCCCCCAAGCCTTTAGCTATAGACCGTTCTTTCGTCATTACTAAGCCCATCTATAATAATTCATTTCTAATCTCTTACTAGGATAGTTCGATTCAGAGACAAGTATATAGGGATACTTCCATAGATATAAACCTTATTTCGTGTTTCCACGACTATGTTAGATGGAACCCCAAAGTATCAATTTAATGTCCTATATGAATAACAAAGTAAACTTGTTCTACTAATGTAGAAAGATAGAAAAAATAAAAAACCAGAATGGAGAGTATATGAAAGGATCTCTGAGGTAGTACTAAGCGCGAGATAAGGTTAGAAAAGCCTTATGTTGTAAAAGGCATAAAATAAAAGAGAAAAAGGAACTATAAAAAATGGTTAACGTTATAACGATTCGGATGAGGGAATGGGAATTCAGTGAGCGTTTTACTCGAAAAAATCAATAGCTCCAGCGGGTTAACTTACTTACAATTACCAAAATTCCGTTATATTATACTCCATTTATCCGGTACATAATACATTAAGGCTTTCTAAAGGTTTTTTGTTATGTTTTTGTATTTTTATATTTTAAAATGAATATTTTCTAGTTGACTGCAACCATTTCATTATGTTCTGTAAAATTTTATCTATAGTCAGGATTAAGATGTCGTAACTGTCATCATTTTATTTCTAGTCTAATATTAAGAGAAAGACACCTGTTAGCAAAAAAAAAAATTTTTTTTTTTCAAATATTCTTTTTAAAGTTTTAAACCTATTAATTAATATTAAAATTGCTTAGTTTAGACAGAAGACTATAATAATTAGTGAAAGGTCATTAATACAGTCGTTAACTACTTGAAGTACTGCATGGCTGAATAATAAATAAACAAGCCTGATAGAGATTAATAATTTCTAATTAAAAAAGAGGTGCATAAAAATAAAATGTGGACTTCAAATTTTTAAGAATTTGGATAATTCAAAATAGTTATCAATTATTAAAGAAAAGCCAATTAGCCATTCTATTATAGCGGCTGTGTTTTTTACAGCTAGTAAAAATAATAGTAATCTGTAATATTTTTATTAGTAAATTTATAACCTTTTCGTGGCATTTTATGTTTATATAGTTCTTTTATGACTTTTCTTATAAAAAAATTACATTTTAAAGTAGCCTATTACAGGATTTCTAGCAATTCACTCTCCCCCTTTAATAATTCATGGTACCCTCTTTGTTTTTTACATAATTCAAAAAAATCTTCATATAACTTTAATGCACCTTCATGAGTGCAATAGCTGTCAACAAAGTTAATTTTATTATTATAGTAAACTCTGGAGGAACAAACAAAAGACTGATTCAACGATATACCCCTAATAGTTGTAATAAGCACGGCAATAAAAATCTCTAAATAATTAAGTTCTTACAGATTTTTGAAATTAAAAGATTCTCTAAAGGCACGCGGGTTTATTTGGGTTATGGGGTTTTCTCCTAAGTCTCTAATGATATTTTAAGCAGAGAAACATAATAAGAAAGTAGGGAATTTATAAGGGAAACATAACATTACAAGTTACTAAAAATATAAAAATGGGATAATAATAAATGGTTTTTGGTGTAACTGGGTGTATATAACTACTATATAAACGTTAAAGGCAAAAAAGACTACAAGAAGAAACCTACAAATAAACTAGTGCTCGTAAATGAGAAAAAGTTTCCTTAGGGATTGACGTAATTTTGTTGGCGTAAAGACCTCTACAGATGGTAATTAGAATTGACCAGTTATTTAGACTCTTGGGCGACTTACAATTCCCTTAAAGAAGAGAGTCCATCAAACATAGATTTATCCAGAGAAGTAAGATAATTAAAGTTTAGTCCTCTTTTGAAGCAAGATGACAGTAAATGGCACCACTCTTAGGAGTAATAGGGAAAAGTAACTTACAAATAAGTTAACATAGACAGTTCCTTGAATGTTTCTGCTTTAATACTTGTAAGATAATTTTTACCGAGATGGCTATTTAAAATTTAATATACTTTTGATTTTAGAATGAATATAAAATAAAAATATCTAATATGTTTTTTTCATCATGCTTGTTTGTACTATTTCTTCTATTAATAAATTTGATATTTTTATGCTTTTTTATAGAATTTTAAAAAGTTTTATGAAATTAATCGATATCGTTATTTATAAATAAAAATTTATTCATTTTTACCGTTAACGATAATAAAATTCGAAAGCAAAGAACAATAAAACTAAATCAGTATTTTTTTAATCATATTTTATTTCATTGCTTACTTTAAACATTTAATAAAAAAGGACTTTCCAAAGTTCAAAGTTTAATGTTTTATCAAATATATACTAAAAAAGAGATAGTAAGGCTTGTATATATTATTTATTAACATTAATAGAGGAGCCTGTAGTGTCCAAAATTTCGTAAAAAATAATTTATTTCTAACTATGCGAAATGTGAGTAAAAGTGGAGGGGAGGGATAGCTGAAAAAAGCTTATGCGGAGAATAAATTACACCAAAACAAGTTTATGGTTTGGCAGTAAAGTGATAATAATGTTTGCACACACTATTACAATACGCCTAACCTATTTAATATAATTATACAGATTAGTAGAGGATGACAATCGACCATTAACATAGTTAAGAAAAACTTTGTAGCCATTCTCCTCACTTACCAAATTTTTTGTACTTGTTAGAAAATGATTACTACTTTTTTTAAAAAAAAGTGTACACAATTTTCTTACTTTCATAGTTTATAAACAGTGTACTAATCTTAAACACAATGAAATAAATAGTAAAAGGACTCGTTACTTTTCTAAGTTGTAACGCGTGCTTAAATTTTGCTTTATCAAACAGTAGTAAAAAGTAAGAATGTACTGTAAGGATAGTTAACAACTGATAAGAAATCTATTTTAGTTTACAATTAAGAGCTATGGTGGCAATCATAATATATCACTAACTGATTGATTTCTTATCTAAAGAAATAAATACACACTTAGCATATTTATAATAGTTATTGTATTTATAATAATATGATAAAATGAGTGAGGGAGTTAATACCCCAAGACAATTAACTAAAACTTAGCATGAAATTGTAAGCTAAACAGTTATTAATAAGTTAATAAGTTAATTAATGTAATGTTTAAGTTACAGCTGCTCTAGGTTTGATAGACCCGAAAAAGTTCTCTCTTTAATGGAATTAATCAAGTTATACTGTAAGTCCCTCCACGTTCATAACATAAAAAAGTGGTCAGTAATAAGTTATATGGTAACGCAATTTAACAAAATTAGTTTCTGCAACAAATAAGATTAAATATACTAGAATAGTCACAACTTACAAAATCCTTAATTTACTCTGACTAAGGAATGAGTTGAGTGCTATCCATGTAATTTTATTAAAGGCCATATTTCTACAGATATAAATTTGTGTAACATTTATTTATAGTTTAGAACAATAGGAGAACAAATAAATATTAGGAAACGTTGAAAGAAGTATCTTAACTAATTGTTTGAAAAACTCTTTCAACAAAGGGAAATAGTTTATGAGGAGATAAGAAACTAGTAGCAATTCTGTCGTATGCACTTCACACTCGTTTACTAAAATGTTAGGGTTCTTCTTACGGCTGAATTTAGGTGGAGTTGAGTTTTTGTAATAAGTTACCACAATAATTCTTTATAATAACCAAACTAATTTCAACTTGGCCTAAAAAGTTACCTGGAACTCTAACAACCCCGAGGGTTATTAAGTCGAAAGGTATCTACACTAAATACAAGACAAAAATATGCTTTCCCACCTAACAGCGCAGACTACAGTAACTTGTAAATTCATTTCTAATAAAAAGTAAATCAATGTGTTAGGAGTTGCTAGTAATTGAAGTTTAGCTATAGATAGAAATAAAAGAGAATTTGAGTTTCACGGGCTATGTAGATGTAGTTTTCAAAGTAATTATCAAAAGGTATATGTTGTAATATTGATAGGTGACGTCAAGAAGTGATAGGAAGGAGTGGGGCGAGGCTATAAAACTAAAACTTATGTAAAACAACTAAATTTCTTTCCCCATCATATTTTTATAAAAACTTTGTAAAAATCCTCCTGTAAAATAAAATTTTATAATGTGTGAGAGTATGGACAAAAGTTCAGGAAAGGAAGCCTGACCGTTTACTTTATACCATATTATGCCAATAATAGTCTTAAGCTAGTTGGTATAATGTATAACGCTCAAATTACGGTAAGTCTTTAACGATAACATACATCTCAGTTAGAAGGGTAAGAGCTCGAAAAGTGATCCAATTAATAGAACTGATATCGTTTGAGTAAAGTATTCTGTATACGCAAAAGTTAAATTTATAAATATAAAGCAAATTTCTAATAAAATATTTACAGTGTGGAAAGTAATGAGGAAGTCTTTGCATTAGGAGTAAAAAAGGTTAGTGAGCAGTTTGATAAATCCCTAGATAAAAATATTAAATGCATCAAGTATTTTACTAAAAAGATCATATTTTTTTGGTTTATAAAAATGTTATTACATTTATATTTTTATTTTTTGTTAAGCTTATCTTTTACAAACTTCAATGTTTTGAAGTTCGTTATTAACTAAAATTAATTGTTAGGAGTTTTTAATTATTGTTGACTTCACAGGCATTAAGTCTTCGAAAACTTGTATATCAAAGGCAGTAAAGTAGTATAATATAGATAACATAACGAGTATTATGGACAGTAAGTGATATAGTATAAGAAAGTTGAAGTACTAGAAAGTACTGTAAAAAAAAATTTATTTGATCATTATAAATTCCAAGCGCACCAAACCCATCTGCGCAACGATCAATCAAGAAGAAAAAAAAAAACTACTGCGGGTACGCGGGCCAAACTTATACAATCACATGTGCACTGCCTTTGAATATTACCCTCTTATTATAAACATAAAAAATTGACTAATTTTTAATGATGATCTTCCTTCTTATTATCACCAGGTGTCGTTTTGTATTTATTAAATTTCTATTTTTACTACCCAAATAGCACATATTGGAAATATGATTTATTTTACTTCAGTTTTTTTATTAAAACTAACAAAAATTCTAAGAATTCATTAATTTCACTTACAAAGTTGGTGTACTACTTAGATCTTTACAATGCTCGTCAGAGCATACGTCATCACCAAAAAATGTTAGTAAATAAAATGTCAATAACATATATTTAGCGACAACTAAAAAGAACCACATAATTTAAAAATTTCTTAGCGGTAAAGTTCAAGTTTTATAATATGCTGAATACTTTATATATTATTTTAGCTCATGTAAAATTCAAAAAATATTATGACATATATTTGTGTAAGATACACCGTTAACAAGAACTTTAAAATATCAAATATAAATAATGTTAACTTCTGGGATAGGTAACTATTAATTTTGTTAGTTTTAATGCAGCCGCTTAAGAAACGTAAAGCTAAGTTACAATTTTTATTTTAAATTTTGTATTAGTTATTAATTTAAGTTAATATAAAGGCCTAAGAACTATCTTATCCTTAGTGAAAGTGACAGCATAATTTGTAACTAATAAATTTTACAGCATATGTTAAAAATGTTATATAAAATTAGTAAAAATGGCGTTAAAAAGCTTAGCAATGGGACAAATCTGTTTACGTTATTTGACGAATGTAAAGGGTAATATATTTACAACTTATTATATAAATAAAGTAAATGCTGATAAGATTTATTTATGTAAAGGATATGCTATAAAAGTTAAAAAATATTGTTATGATATCGGCAAATCTTTTTGTAATTATTGAGTAATATCATGAAGTTTCCCCTTTACTCTAAAATCAATGGCGTAAATTTAGTTGTGCTGACCACATTTATTCTGCTAGGTTAATAGGTTAAACCAGTAAAGTAGTGCTAATTTAATAGCTTTTCCATTAATGTTAGGGTCAGTATACACGGCTCCTATGATTTATTAATATTAGTTCTTTTCATATTATCATTTCCGCGTAATTAGGTATTAGCAAGTTTAACTTAAATATTTAATGCCAAATTTGGTAATTTTTTAATGATTCGGTTGTTAAATAAATGCATTTTAGTTTATAGAGCTCCAATAATAGGTTACGAATGATTATGCACCAATGAAAAGTTAGATAAAAAATTGCTTAAATAACTTATGTAAGAGATATGATTAATTATAATGTTATTAATATGCGCTACGCAAAAAGTACATATGGAAACCTTGGAATAGCGTTTTCCATAAAAATTAAAGGCAGTGTAGTGGGATTATATATTCAAAAATCTCATTTATTATTTTTATAATTCAAGTGCTATAGTTTACGCAAAGCTAGAAACTTGAAAGTGGGATCGTTGCGAATATCTCATCTCTACTGGGAACGTATACAATTTAGTTTTATAGCGAAAGCAATTTTATATTACAAACATAAATGCAGAGTAAGAACTGCCTATTTATCAAACAAGAGTGTTATCTCAACTCGAAACTCGATAATAATATATAACCCAGTGTTTAACTGGTCCAAAGGCCACACTAATGGCTCGGGGCAAGGGGTGGGAGTGTACGAGCCATATCCCAACCGCTTGCATTCGATCTTTTCTATTTGCACTGAAAGGCAGTTTAAGACACTAACTTAGCCACCCTCACCGTTCATAGATATCTGCCTAAATAGATATTAGAATAGCCAACACCAGTAGGGCGATCCCCGGTATATAACCCTCAAGCTCCGGAATAATAGAATTAAGGTGAAGGGGGTTGGCCCTTCTTGTTTTACTTTTCATTTACTATTTAGTTTGTTCGATTCTCAGCATCTCGTCTAAAAGCATAAAGGTACCAATCCAAGGAATGCTCTAAATCAAACTGATAACTGACTAAAGAAGAATAACATATGATAAATTCTATGTTGAAATATATCATTATTGAATAAAATAAATTAGCTAAAGTCAACGAAGGTTTAAGTTAATCAAAGTTAACCTAAGTTATTTAACCTTTAAATAAAAATATAATAAAAACAGTTTTAATAAAAAAATTAACTAACTTTAAACTAGTACTGTACTTTTCTGAAAAAAGTGCTTTTACTATGTATATTTAAGGAGCTAAAGACGCACGGAAGCTAGCTCCTGCCTAGGAAAAAAACTATGAGCGGATTTTTACCAAGTTTAAGAGCATATTTTCGATGCGTGCTTTACACAACTTCAGAACTCTTCGGTAACCTACAATCTAAGCTCAGAGTTTAGCTAAGGAAGGTGCCATTATCACGCTCCTTTGACTTGATGTCAGAAGTGGCTCCAAGCCTCAAATCGGAAGCTAGCCTTATTTTGCTGAAGAAAAACAAGATAAAGAGCTTATTTAAAATTATCGCTGTCGCTTCAAAAAAGAAAAGGGTGACATGACCAATGTGAAGATGAACCTACATTGGTAAGCCATTCCGCCTTTGAATGGCGCTTAAATCACCGATCTTAGACAGAAGCCTCAGGAAGCCCTAACGATTGGACACGTTTGGGATGAAGGGCCAATCTTTTCCCACAACTTTATGAGATTAATATGGGTACAAAGAGCAAACCTCCCTTTAATTAAGAGTGTACTTCATGGACGAACTAGTTAGAATTTAAGGTACTCGCAAACAGTCAAATGCAACACAGATGATGGCCAACGATTAAATTTAACTTTACATCATTAACAAATACGCCCCTACTACAACTTTAGCTAAGGAATTAAGGTTTAGGGTTAGGGTTAGATGTAATGATAATCTTTGCAAACAAAAATTATCATAAAGCTTCTTGAAGGTACTCAAACTATTTCTTTTATCAATAAACTTTCGTACGCGGTATAGAATAGTTTTATTAATAAAAGTTTTTCGCTAAAATCTCCAGAGGTATCCTTGAATCAAGCTTGACTGATTGTTTAAAAAAGTATCTTGAATCAGGATCCTTTCTGCTGCCTGGGCTTCTTCAGTGGAATTTGAGGGCACTTGGTAAGCGAAAAAGCGAAAAGTTCTAGAAGAGGTCTGTTCAGTCTCTTATATACCTTTTCAAGTTTATACTCGGAAAGTGGTTTCCAGAATAATAAGAAATGTTCGGGAACATTTCATATAAAAAAGCATATGGCTTTAATATTAGGTTTAGGAACACTATAAAAAAGGATCAGTGCTAGCTAGCTATCCTCCTTTTCTAATTTATAATGCTCCACTTTCCGAGTTTACGAAACGATTCGAACCCAATAATTCATTGATATTCCGAGGTCTGGAATATCCAATCGTTATAGGGCAATTATTTGCCATAGCTGATATGACATTCGTAACAAGGGCATTTCTAATCCAACTCCGCCTCGGTCCGTTCGGGTCATATCGGATATGAAAAAAGAATCGTTTCGTAAAGGTATGGTTGTTATCGTTGTTCTCCTCTTTAGATAACATTGAGAAAGCGTATCTAAATATTACATATAATCTTTTTTTGGAATGTCCCCTCTCCATTAACCTTGCAAAAAGTTTGTTACAACATGATACAAAATCCTCGCGAAAAGAATTTTGTCTGTAATATTTAGAAATTAAGCTTCTCACCATACCTTTTGCAACCCCTGGCGGATGTGCCGAATGAGGGGTAGGATATAAAAATAAATTTGTATCCTTTTCCGCCGAGGTTGTCCATAACATCGTACCATCTGTATGAATACAGATGTCGAGGAATTGTAATTTACCATCCTTCATAGATTCTTTGGTTCATTTTAGACCAGAAATACTGTTAAGGATGGCCAGCATTTTTTTCTCTAAAAATCTCTTATTATCTTTTAAAATCACCAATGCATCATCCAAGTATCTTTTATATAAGATGAGATTGGATTTTAAAAGAGGGTATAATTTGGTAGATTCATAGTAAGCAACATAAAGGGTTGCTATACTGGGGACTGCTGGATCCCCTCTAGAAATGCCGTTCGTTTGAATGTAGAGCTTGTCATAGAATTCAAAATAACCAGTACTCAGAATTAAACGAAGAGCTTCTACAAACAAACCACCATGAATTGGTACAAAATGCTCTAGAATATATTTTTTAATCTCTTTATATGCTTCCATGTGGGAATGGAAGTATATAAGGCTGAAATATCTAGAGACATTAGTTCATGATGAGACGACAAAATGGTACCCGGAATAGCAGTCAGGATATCATCAGAATTCCTGATATAAGAAGGGATGTTGGAACCATTTCGACAGGCCAGGAGTAAGTGTATTAACACACGTAGCTAATGATGTAATGTCTGGTGCACATCTAGGAAAACCATTTTTGTGTACCTTGGCTAACCCGTAAAAATAATAAAGTTTAGTCTTATCCAGATGATGTAAAATGATTCTGGTCAATTTCATGAAGTCATTATTTTTATCCAACGTTCTTTTTACCTGTTGATAAAAACCAAGAATCTTATCTCGACGCGTTGTCAATATCTCCTCTTTATTGCGCTTCTGAATTTCGAAATAAGAATTTTTATTTGTAAATGGTCGCTACACCATTTTACATACTGTGTTGTGGTCATTAATGCAGGGCCTTGGTTTTTATCAGTATTGATCACTTTCATATATTTGTTATTCTTA